ACGATTATTCTCTTTCCCTTGTAAGTATGAAAGCAAGACAGAGCCTTTGGGTTTCACTTTGCTAGTAATTCCCATGAAAGAGCGCACAATAAGTTTCCAAAAAGAGCTTGAATTCCAGTGTCCTAGGCAGTTTTGCTTCAGGTGCAGGCTATGCACTGAGGTACTGCTGAGTTACAGTAGCTGTGGTGGATTCATCATCACCGTGTTTCTAGAAATGGTAGTCATTACTGTGCAATGAGCTTCGAGATACTCTGATTTTAAAGGACACTAGAGAAAATCAAATTCTCTGATATCCTTCAGTTACGAACATTAAAGCTGTTGGCAATTGGCTTTGCAGAAAGGGACATCTAGTGGCTGTACAAAAAAATCCTTTCTCAATGCATTTTAAAATGTACAGCATAGCCATTTGTGTTTGGCCTGCAGTCTTCAGTATCCTGTACATCCTTTTAGCTGTGCTATATCATGTGTTTGCTGGGGGTCATATTTTATGGTTTTGGCAAACAAAAAAATCACCTTTGCAAGCCATAACTTTCTAGTCTGTGTAGGTCTGTGTATGGTTACCGTGGCAAATAGAAGGGTGCCTCAGGCCATGCTTGATGTACCTCACTGCAGCACTTCCACATTTTCTATAGCATCTTCTAGGAGTCCACTGCCTGCTGTTTCCTTCTGCTGTTGCCTACCCCTTTGGTACTGTACTTGGAGAGGTTGTCATTGTTATTGTCATGGTAAAACCTACTTTCTTTTGAATGTCAATAGCATAAAAGTCAGCAGGAGGGGTGGATGAGATTCATGGAAACACTAATCTAAGCATTCAGTCATGTATTACACAACAAAAGTTTTTTCCTTTCCCATCCACGTTATGCTCCTTCTTACTAGTTGAGGATGAATTCCATGCATGTTTCTGTGAATAGCCTGACAGTTTAATCGGTACATTTGCATACGGGCAAATGAAGCTTTTTTCAAAGTTGCACAGTAATATGTTTCACCTTTATGCCATGCCAGCTTCAAATTGTATCCCAGGAGGATTTCAAATGTGCATAATCTGTGCAGTTGTCTGGGCTTTTTTTCTTTTCTTTTTTTTTTCTGCCTTTTTTTTTTTTTTTAAACTGGCAAATGCCTATTCATTGCCCATCTGGGTAAGAATGGCCTTCGCATTTTCACACCCATTCTTTCCTATATGGTTTGTGAATACCCCTCCAATCAGAACTTGCTTCACAGAAAGGGGACAAAACCATTTTACAGGAGTTTCTCAGAACAAGTCCATTGGGATCTCTACATCATGTTTACTGGACAAAAAAAAAAGGGGGGAATACTTAACAAAGACCACTTGAATTTCGCAGAAGGGTTCCCACTGTCTCGGGTTTAAAAGAGTGGCAGGCCTGAGAAGAGCTCAAGACAGGAGTCTTTTTCCTGAGCCAGGCATTCTGTGCAGTGACGAGTAGGTGAGTGTGCCTGTGTATAGCTGGGTCTTGTGAAGAACTGACACGCTTTTGGGCTTGTCCAAGGCTCTAGCAGCCTTTGTCAGAATGTGGCATTACTTAGGATCAAACCTGCATTGGCAAGTCCACATTTTATGGGAAGCATCTCCTTTGGACTTTCAGCTTAGAGTGGCATAAAGTAGGGGTCAAGGACAAAAATCTGTACCCAGTTTCCTGCAGAGAGGGAGAGGATCTGCATGGGACAGCAGGTTTTGCTACAGACCAGTCTCTGGAATTTGTTAAAACTGCTCTTTGTACTGCTGTGGTTTGTGCAGTAGTGTCTCTGGCGGTATTGCAAATTATTTGATTGCCTATACTTTGGATAGATATAGTTTACAGTGTTGAATGTCAAGGAAGATGGCCTAGAATAATCATCCTCAAAATCTCTATTACCTTTTCTTACCACTTGTTGTGTGTTTCTTCTACCACCTTCTTGTTTTATCCTTAAGGAGTAAATTTCAGTTGTTTCTCAGGTGAAGAGGTGGTATTTGTTCCAACTTCACTTGAAGAAGTAAAGAAAGGAGGAAAGGATTTTTGTTTTAAGGGCAAACTCTGTTATTACCAATAGGAATAAAAAAAGTATTCCATGCCATTTATGAAGTGACTCAGCTGTTTTCAGATCAGGTCCTACATCACAAGGTGCATCCTAAATCAGCTCCTATAGGAGAGAAGAGAGATAATCACATCACTCTTGGCAATGCAAACAAACCTCTTTTCTGTTCCATGATTAAGCCCAGCTGCCTGATTTCATCAAGCCATCTAACAACAGAATAGTCTATGGCTACACAACTATTGATTCCCACAGCCAGGACCTGAGAAGAGCTGTTCAAACTTATAGATGAACCTTGCCCTTCCTCCTTTCTGTACATGATTTGTGGGTAAGTGGCAGAGTTCACTTTCCCAAGAAGTCATCCAGTCTCATGATGCATATTACACCTTTCTGGAAAGGAGTTGTCCTGAGGACTCATTTTTCAGAGTTCCACTCACCAAATTAATTTATCTGCCAAGGGGCATAAGGGAAAAAGTAGATTTCTTTGCACCTGCTCAAATCAAGAGACCTGTCTGTAGCCTCTCTGATATGTGTAGAATATTCCACATTGCGCATGTATGTGCAAAGTAGGATTTTTTGGTTATTGAGTTGGACTGCTGCATATTTCTTCTTATTATCAAATACCTCATTTGACAAAGCAGAACATGAAGTTAAAGTTATGTTTCTGTGAAAAGGGAGTCCTAGGATCAAACCAAGTTGTCATTGATACTGTTCAAAGGGAGACAGAGATAAACGGGTAGCTATACAATCATCTGCTGTGGCCTACAGTAGGTCTTGAAAAGAGGTGTCATCTATTTATTATGAATTTTCCACTCTTCTGTTGCTCCACCTGAACAAAGCTTTTGCCAAGGATTACGACTTTTTGTGTAAATACATCTTGGATTCTTGTATTATCTAGCACGTTGGGAAGGGAAGCATCCTGAACTGCCCTGTAGGCATTTGGAGAATTACTTTATCTGCAAGGAGGAGGAAATATGTCTCTTCTGTACATTATTTTGTGCAATAATAGTTGCATTGCACTTGAATGCCTAAGATGTTTTTCCAGTCCTATGGTCAGTCTCATCAGAGGAAGAAACTCCGGTTTCCTGGCTAAGCTTATGAACAAGACAGATGTTTTTCACAACCTTCATCATACTGTTAGTGGTTTCCTCCTTGTTTCTGCTATGTGAGCATCCCTGCAGCGTGCTAATCACACATGGCAATTAGTACCCTTCTGGTACTGGTTGCTTTACATCTGTTAACATCAGACTTCTTCAGACAGCCAGGCCCCATCGTGATTTCCAGTTCCTGCCTGACCTTTGTGCATCCCTTTTATCATTAGCTTCTTCAGAGAATTAAAATAACCACCTGTGTCCAAGATGGTTTCTCTTTGAACCTCCAGAATAGAGGGTGCTTGAGATGTCAGAAGTAAATAAATGGGAAAGAAAAGGCAGAGCAGGGAAGATGTCACATTTTCTTGCAAATTGCAGTGAATAGTGTTCTACCACCTGTGTATGAGATGTAAAGCACTTCTTAGGGTGGACCAGAGAGATGTTGTTGAGCTAAAAGGCACATATATATCTTTTAACTGCTTTCAATACTATTTCTTTGCTCTGTATATTTCTGTTAGTGAAAATAAGCTTGTTTAATTTATTCATGGTTGCTTACCAGATTTTCCTTTTGGATCCTCACACATTGACAAGTAATTGTGGCAAGAGGGATTGTAGCTTTAGGTAGGAATATCCAAGATAAAATGCCTGTAATACTAGAAGTGATTTAGCATTACTTTTCTCTGCACACTTTTCTAGGAACCAAGGTGATATATGTACTACAAATGCTAAGAGAAGAAAATTATTAATACTATTTTATTTTTTTACCATTCAAAAGGCAGTTGGTTCTTCAGAGTTAAAAGGTGAAACCAGAGTTTCTGCCCATCAAGATCTGAATAGAACTAAAAAATGGTAAAGAACAGGAAAGGAAATAGAAAAGCATTAAAACCAAAGGAAGCAAGATGAAGATAAGAAACAGTGGATAGAGAGATTAAGAAGTTACTTTTCAGTCACTTGTAAAAGTTAAATTGGAAGATTATATTGGCCCTGTACCCAAATTGGTTAGATGCTTTTCTAAACTGTTCTCTATTTAGATAATCCAGCCAAACTAAGACAAAATCTTCCTTGGAGTAAATGTCTGTAATTTTCCAGTTTCTGTCAAGTAAATAACAGCAGGAGAACATTTGTTTTTGTATGATGGCATTCTGCTGCAAGTCAGAACTTGGGATATGCTAAAAATTAAGGGGACAGCTCATGTTAACTTTTTGCTTTGGGCTCTTTCAGAGGACTGTTTGTCACTATTGGGTAGCAAATGTTCTAAACCAGAACCCCAGACAAAACTGTGCGTGGGATTTTAGGAACATTTACAGCCTAAATCTTGAACCAGATTTGGATTTTACAAAGTAACTGCCAGTTTTTTTCACTGTACTGTGAAACATAGGATCCAAATTCCTTAAAATACCAATCTAGATAGAAATCACATTTTCATATATACTCTTTGCATTAGCAACTTAGGGTCATTAAAGTAAGATTCTGATCTCTTCTGGCGTGGGTCCACATCCAAACAGTTCAAAATCCAGCTTTAATCCATGTGCTCAGTGTTTACGATTGGCTGGCTCTGAGCTTTTTAAAGCCAGAAAAACTGATAGGCCCAGTAATATGATTGGAATTTAGGCCCCGCTACACCTGTCTTCATTGCTTTTGCCCAAAAATTCAGGACTTGAGCATCTGCAAATGAGTAGCAAAATTTACTTCTAGCCTTACAAAAACAATGTCTTCTTATCAATGCCTTTGTGTGTGATTTTTTACAGTGCAGTCAGTTTTGTTTACCCAGTGGGCAGTCACCTTTGCCAGTGCTCTGACTGTGGCCCTACAGAGGACAAGACTCAAGACTCAATCTGTTCCTTTTTTTTTTTTTTCTTGTTGTCTCCTGCTTTGCTCCAGGTAACATCAGTTGCAAGGGGATGACAGAGCGCATTCATAGCATCAACCTTCACAACTTCAGCAATTCTGTGCTCGAGACCCTCAACGAGCAGCGCAACCGTGGCCACTTCTGTGACGTGACGGTCCGCATCCACGGGAGCATGCTACGCGCCCACCGTTGTGTGCTGGCGGCTGGCAGCCCCTTTTTCCAGGACAAATTGCTGCTGGGCTACAGTGACATCGAGATCCCCTCAGTGGTGTCAGTCCAGTCTGTGCAAAAGCTCATTGACTTCATGTACAGCGGGGTGCTGCGGGTCTCCCAGTCAGAGGCCCTCCAAATCCTCACAGCTGCCAGCATCCTGCAGATCAAGACTGTGATTGATGAGTGCACAAGGATTGTCTCACAAAATGTGGGAGAGGTCTACCCAGTGATTCAGGATTCTGGCCAGGAGACACCCAGGGGAACACCCGAATCAGGCACCTCGGGGCAGAGCACTGACACAGAGTCTGGCTACCTGCAGAGCCATTCGCAGCACAGTGTGGACAGGATCTATTCAGCCCTCTATGCCTGTTCCATGCAAAATGGCAGTGGGGAGCGCTCCTTTTACAGTGGAGCTGTGGTCAGCCACCATGAAACAGCCCTGGGACTCCCCAGGGACCATCACATAGAAGACCCCAGCTGGATTACCCGGATCCATGAACGGTCGCAACAGATGGAGCGGTACCTCTCCACCACTCCAGAGACCACACACTGCCGCAAGCAACCGCGCCCTGTCCGAATTCAAACCCTGATGGGCAACATCCATATTAAGCAGGAGATGGAGGATGACTATGACTACTATGGCCAACAGAGGGTGCAGATCCTAGAGCGCAATGAGTCTGAGGAATGCACTGAGGACACTGACCAAGCAGAAGGCACTGAGAGTGAGCCCAAAGGGGAGAGTTTTGACTCAGGCGTCAGTTCCTCCATTGGCACTGAGCCTGATTCCATGGAGCAGCAGTTTATGGCTGCTCTGGGCCGGGATGGGCAGCAAGAACCTTCTCAAGCAGATCAAAGTGACGTCCCTGCTGATGGCACTCAGCCGCAGCAGCAGCAGCAGCAGCAACATGTAGATGCCAACTCTTCCTCACCAGAGAGAAGCAATGACGTTGAAATGGACAACAAAGTGCTCACAGTCAATAACAGCACCGAAAAGGGGGCTTTGCAGCCTTCTGTCAACACAACTGTTGCCCAACCATTGCCAACCACACAGATCTACTTACGCCAGACAGAAACCCTCACCAGCAATCTGAGGATGCCACTGACTCTGACCAGCAACACTCAGGTCATTGGCACAGCTGGCAACACCTACCTGCCTGCCCTTTTCACCACGCAGTCTGCTGGCAGTGGCCCTAAACCTTTTCTCTTCAGCCTACCCCAGCCTTTAGCTGGCCAACAGACACAGTTTGTGACAGTGTCCCAGCCTGGCCTGTCAACCTTTACTGCCCAGCTGCCAGCCCCACAGCCCTTGGCCCCGTCTGCGGGCCACAGCACAGCGGGTGGGCAAGGCGAAAAAAAGCCTTACGAGTGCACTCTCTGTAACAAGACTTTCACCGCCAAACAGAACTACGTCAAGCACATGTTTGTACACACAGGTAAGAGTACTTCCCTTTGACTTATTTATGAAGGCAGAGAAAGTCCTTCACAACCAGGGACTTAGATTCTGTTTGCCAACATGCCAGCCCCCAACACAAACAGAAGAGAGGGGTTATCCAGGGTGTCACTGAACACTTCCCAAGCTTACTGCACTGAAGTTGAGCCCCTGCAGAAATGTACAGATCTCATGCAGGGGCCTAACTGTGCATGGTGCAGAAACAAGCTCATTTTAGTTGGAGTAAAATGTGCCCTGCATTTGTCCAAGGAAATGATAAGCATTTGTTGTATCCTGCTAGGTGACCAGGCGTCACCTGGAAGGGTGTTAATGGACCTTAAATGGAAGTGGCATGAGGAAACTCAAATAAGTCATAAGAAAAACTCTATCTACTGAGAAAGGGCATACCCCTGTAGGTTTTAAAGCTATGGGGGTTTAAGCTCAAGTGATGAGAATTGGCATGAGGTTAGGGCAAAGTCATTACTGGTGGAGCTGCAGAGGTAGGTCCAGGTCTGGATGTTACGCATATTGCCACGTATTTTCTTGATCTTGCATATTCCTATAAGAAAGTAAATTGTGAGTTTTGTAAGGAAGGAGGGAAAGAAGTCTTTCTGTAGCACATTGAAGCTGATTGCTGTAATCCGTTATCTCTTGGTAAGTCAGATAATTCACTATCTGTGAGTACAGAAACAGAGGTTTCAATGAGAAAATTTTAAAAGAATATATGTAGAACACTACAGAACACAACATCAACACTTTTTTGTTTAAAAATGCAGCTGTTTTAATATATGGTTTATGGGCTATTGAGACAGTATAGGTAACCATATTTTCTGCTGAGCCAAAACTGCCTTTTCTAGCTTTCTCAAGTTATGAGACTTCAAAGCAAGTATCTTACATGGAGGAGCTATCATGAGTTCAGGACTAAATTTTGCTTGCTTTAGCCCTTGGCTCTTTCTGACACTGGAGAGAAATTCTAGTTTAGAGAAAGAGTAAATATTTCTTTCACCAAGCAATGGTTTTGTTAACATCAGCTCTTAAAATAAATGCTGGTTTGTGAATAGAAACCTAGAAAAATTACACAAAGTATGGGAGGAATGTAGGTCATGCCTCTCAGTTGTATGCAATAGACTTCAATTCCCATGTGCGTATGTAAACTTTTAAATTCAATTTACTTGTATTTATCACTTAAATGAAAAACTTCTCTAGACATCTAAGGCAGACATGCACGTATACAATAAGATCAACATTTCAGGAGTGGTACAAAATGTATAATTGCAAGGATCAAGAGTCCTGAATCCCGAGATTACCCTTTATGTGTTTATGTTCTTCATCTTTCTATTGTGGATGAGTAGCTAAAATATTATGTAGGTAATGCTGTGTTATTCAGAAAAATATCCCCTTCAGAACACATTCAAATATATCTTCTTGCATCCTTGTTACTGAGATTAGGTGCTTTATTTCCCCTACCCCCAAACTGTACACTGCACTTCTTACTTGGAGTCAGATAAAGAGTAGTACTGGAAGATCTGACCTTGAAACATTCCTAGCTATTACACATAATGCCAACCAAGGAAATTGGTAGGCATCTCTAATCATTAATTAATGTTTTATTTGTATGGGTCTGAGAATGCCCAGAATAATGAACTGTGGTGGCAAGGAGAGATTCAGGGAGATAAATTATTTCAGAATTCATTTGGCAGCAAACTGGCTCCTAGAATGTCTGGGAGAATAATTGCACCTTAACCAACAGAGGGCTGGACTTCAGAAAACCCTTCTGAAAATAATCTTTGTATGTGCAGACTCATAGATAGCATGTCTGCTACCTTGTCTAGTGCTGGACAGGATCATTACAAAAATGGAGAGGAGACAGCCATTCCCACTGTCAGGGTGATTTTCCCTATCCATGTTAAAAGAAACCAGGCAAAGTGGCTCTGGAAAAGATCCACAGAAAGAGGGAAAAAATTAGAACATGTAAATATTTGAATTAGTCTTTCTGTTTGGAGAGCTCACAAGAAAAGTCATGGAGGAGTCTAATCATAAACCAGAATTCAACAATCTAAAGGTCTTCAAATCTCTGTATGTTCTTATGCTCCAAAAACTATAGTCTGGTGTAGCTTTCCATGCAACAGAAACCAGCCTCCTTTTCTTCTTTCACATGGATGCAAACATACTAGAGAGGAGTATTTTTCTATGTTCCTTTCAGACTGGCTTTAATGTATCCTACAGTGTTGTTCTCCAAGACATGCAATGTTGTGGAAATAGAGTGTTAGAATGGATACAGTGTCTGTGCACTTCATAAACCACCATTGCCTTTTCGTACATATCACATTGCGGTTAATTGTGGGTTAAGGGCTGGAAAAGGCATGCCAAGGTGATCATGGCAGGGCCCCAACATTGCTACCTCCTTTCTAATCTGGGGCACCCATGGTGATGGGATGAGGGGAAGTCATATGAGGAGTGGCTGAGCTCATTTGGCTTATTCAGCCTAAAGAAGAAGAGACTGAGGGGAGACCTCACTGTGGTCTACAGTTTGCTCAGGAGGGGAAGTGCAAGAGCAGAAACTGATCCCTTCCCTCTGGTGACCAGTGATAGGACATGGGGAAATGGAAGTTGTCTCAAGGTAGATTTAGGTTAAGCATTAGGAAAAGGTTCTGTACCCACAGGGTGATTGGGCACTGGAACAGGTTCCTCAGTGAAGTGGTCATGGCACCAGCCTGCCAGAGTTTGAGAGGCATTTGGACAATGCTCTTGGACATATGGTGTGACTGTTGGGGTAGTCCTGTGCAGGGCCAGGAGGTGAACTTTGATGATCCTTGTGGATCCCTTCCAAGTCAGAATATTCTAGGATTCTGTGGCCTCAGTGTCAGACCAAGCATCCATTTTGCTTAGGGTGAGGGTTCAAAGAGCCACAGAGGCTACAGCTCTAGAACACTGGAGCTGGAAAAGGCATGCCAAAGGGACCATGGCCAGGCACTGAGATTGCTGTCTCCTCTTCCAGCTCAAGATATGCTGTGATTCTATGTTTCTCAGTGCCTCACATTGCTGTCTAATACCAGCCAAAGACAAAATAAAGAAGCAAAAGGAGAAACATGCACATTTCACTCACTGAACAAAGTTTTCTCTGACTTCAAAATGAAGAATCATGGGAATAAAGAATCTACAGTGCTTACTGAGGAAGCACATATATTTGCAAAAAAAAAAAGAAAGTATCTAAAAAGTTTTGAGATTCTTAGGACAGAAAAAATCCCAGGAAAGCTTTCAAGCTGAGATTAAAAATCCAGAACCCAGTGTCACTTTGGAACATATGCAGGAAAAAATTAAGGTGTTTTTATAGCATAGTCTTAACAGGGTCTAGAGTGGTGGAGACCAACTTAGTACAAACTCTGGGACATATATTGCCCCAGGCAAAAATGAGCACTGTAAATATAATCAGTCTCTTTTAAGTTGATCAGATGTTATTCTAACTGACAGACTATCATTTCCCACATAACATGTCAAGCAAATGGGTCTGTCTGCACTCAGCACACTGCTGTGTTTGGCAAACTCATCATGAGTGCAAGAAAGAGCAACAAGTGGGTTTCATTCATGGATGTCACCATCATACATGCAAACCATGAAATAAAAAGGAACAGAGACTCAGGGAGATAAAAAAGTAGGTCCTTCACATCCAATCCATATTAATTATCTCCTATTAAAATTGAATATAAGTGGCATATTGTAATCTCACTATACAAAGAGTAAATTATATATTACCACAGGCGTGTCATGGTCCCTGAAGATTGACTCTTCAGGATTTAAAACAGTGCAGACAGACTGTAAAAAGGAGGAAGCAGGATGTCTGTGGAGAAAAAAAAAATCTCTGCTAGATGGGAAATTGAAGAATAAGCACAGGAAAATAATTTTTTCAATCAGTGAAACAGAGAATAATTTTGATAGTTAGAGAGCTATCTCTCTCCCTAACAGCTTTGGGGATGATGCATTACCACACCTGAAATATACCACAAGTGATTCAGAAAACAAATTAAAAAGCAGCTTTTGGTGGGGCATTCAGGGTGTTGGTTATTGTCTATATTATCAATGCAGCAACATATCATGAAAATATGATATGAAACATGAGACCGTGGCGTTGTTTCTCAGAAGAACTCTCAGCATGAGGAGGATTTCAGAGTAGCCTGAAAAAAGCAATCATATGTTCTCAGCTGAGTAATTTTCCCAGTTCATCCTTGTAGTCACTTGTTTGTCAGAGTTCACAATCAGAGTTCAGTAATACAAGTTACCGTAATCAGTTTTACAAGCAATCCTGGACACCCAAGGCAATGTGGTAGATTACATAAATATTTTTTATCTCTGGTTTACCTCATAAAGTGTTTTATTTAATTGGGAGTCAAATCATTTAAAATTCCTGTCTCTTACACTATAATTTTATCTGTTAGGTTGCCCTTCACATGGTGCTGGCCAGCCTAGGCAATTCTGTATATTGAGATTCCCTTTTCAGTTACTCTTATCCATGTTTCATCTATGAGATTTGACCAGAAAAAAGGGGTCAACAAATGTAAACCTCTTATAAAGCATTGGATTCCTTTGGCAATCTCTAGCATTTCTCTTCTGAGAAATTTAAAGCAATTTGGCCAAAATAAATGTGTTACAGATCAGCTATCTATAGTAATCACTAGTTTTGTCCATTCTTTTACTGCATGCAGGGAAATGGAGGCACTGAAAGGTAAAGTAACCTGGCTAACACCTGTGTAGAAATGAGCATGAGGACATGGGCAGAAGAGGCTGTGCCATTGAAATTGAGCTCTTTTTTACTGTACGTGGATTGGGAATACCTTCAGCCTCCTTTGTAAAGCATTTGAAACATGTAATTGCAAAAAATGTTGCTTATCAAAACACACTTATTAACAGAATTACTCTTTGTTAGCCAGAGCACCTCTCCAAAGACCCCCATGAGACTTACCGTTAGTTTATTGCGAAGCATTATACTGGACTGGTTTAATTTTACATTCTTCTTTTTTTGTCTGTTTTTCTTTCTCTCTCTCTCTTTTCTCATTGGCAATGGGCAGGTGAGAAACCACACCAATGCAGCATCTGTTGGCGCTCCTTCTCTTTAAAGGATTACCTAATCAAACACATGGTGACGCACACCGGCGTGAGGGCGTACCAGTGTAGCATCTGCAACAAGCGCTTCACCCAGAAGAGCTCCCTTAATGTGCACATGCGTCTCCACCGCGGGGAGAAGTCCTACGAGTGCTACATCTGCAAGAAGAAGTTCTCCCACAAGACCCTGCTGGAGAGGCATGTGGCTCTGCACAGTGCCACCAACGGCACGCCTGGAGCCACCGGCACCGGCGCAAGGGCCGTCCCCGCCGGGGTGGTGGCCTGCACGGAGGGGACCACGTACGTCTGCTCTGTCTGTCCAGCTAAGTTTGACCAAATCGAGCATTTCAACGACCACATGAGGATGCATGTGTCAGACGGATAAGTAGAATCTCTCTCTCTCTCTTTGTTATGAACAACAAAAATAGAAACAACAACAACAACAAAAAAAAAGAAAGCTATGGCACTAGAATTTAAGAAATTATTTTTGTTTCATTTTTACCTTTATTTTCCTCCTTTTTTTGGGTTCATTTTGTTTTGTTGTTTTTGTACTACATGAAGAACTGTTTTTTGCCTGCTGGTACATTACATTTCCGGAGGCTGGGTGAATAATAATTTTCCCAACCTCCCTTGGATGGTGGCCTTAAGGCCAGGTAGTGCTTCATGAGCTCCACTGGTTGGATCTCTAGCTACTGGCCTCTAAATACAACCCTTCTTTACTACAAAAAGCAAACAACAAAAAAAAATTTAAAAAAAAAATTAAAAAAAACAGACAGAAAAATAATAAAAAAAAAAATCTTTTTTTCTCACTTGTGAAGAGCACTACAAAAAAAACAAACAAAACAAAATATATTACAAATCTACAAGGCCTACTGTCATTATAAGTACACCGCTTGCAGTGTTTCAATGGACATGATTCACATTGCTGACCGCTTTTGGACTTCACAGTATCCAGTTAGAACTGTGGAATATTTTGCTTCTGGTTGAGCAGCAACCAGAGGAAACAAGGCCCTGCTGGTTTCCACCACGTGTCTGCTTTTTCACACACACACGCATCCACAAACACACAAAAGGGCTGAGGGGAATGCGAGGCAGTGTGGCTTGGATAGTGTGGAGTCCCTGCAGGGTGAGGAAAAAGAATCAGAGGTTCCTCACCTGGATTCTGCTCCATCCCACGCTCTCTGGCGCACCCTCCCCGCTGCTTTTCTCGTACCACCACCACCACCTTATAGCAGAAACCAAGAAGATTCAGACAACGAGCAACGGTGGCTTTTTGTAATTTATTCAGTGTCTTCGCTGAGCACAGGGCCTCAGCACAATCAAGAGGGACTTTCACAGAAGGCAAAGAGAAACACAGAGGAAAATCAAAGATATCAGAGGTTGCAACCTATGGATCTAGGTACAAGAGAAGGGTTAGTTCCCACAATCTTTGCAAAAAAAAAAAAAAAGTTGCATCAGGATTTATTCTTGTGGAAGAAAGAGGAATAGAGGGTGGGTGGGGAGGGGAATAATAATTAAAAAAAAAAGAGTTCTTGGGACTTTTTTAATTCAAAATTTTATAGAGGGGCAAAAGTGACGTTTACCAGATAGAATGCTGATTTTTTTAATATATTTACAACAGTATTTGTGTAAAAAAACAAAAAAAGTGAGATTGTTAAAAGTAATTTTTCTTTGTTTTCTTTTTTGTTTTGCATACACTGCCACTAATATCTTCTCTTTTATTATATATATGAATATATATAAAAATATATATTTTATTTTAAATTGAGACTGTTAAGGTTAGCTAACCTGCTTCCAGATAGAGGGGGGGAGGGGAGATGATCTTGATTTTTATTTTAAAAAAGAGGAAGGATGTTTCTTAATTTTCTTTTCTAGTATTATTCTCTCTCTTTTCTAATGGAATCAAGAATTACCTGGGTCGATGAGGGGCTCTGTGAAGTCATCTGTGAGATTATCTACTAGTGTTCGTGCATCCTGCAGTATCATTTGAACTGCTACTTTGTTTTTTGAAGTACATGGTTCTCTTTTTGGCTCTTACCAAGCTTCTATTGTTTCTTTTTTTGGTTCCGTCTCAGAATTTGTTTCTGCTGAAGGATGGTTTCTTTTGAGAAAGAGATTTTTCTAGCAGTGTTTCCCTGGTTTTGGGGATTGTATAATCTGTAGTCTTTCTTCTTATTTGAAAAAATAATGAAAGTTTTGGAAGTGTGTAATAACTAGAGTTTCCCTTCTTTTTGATCACTGGACAAGAATTAATCTGCTGTATTGTTCTCTCATCCCTGCCTTGCTCGCTAGAGAGCTTCCATATTTGTGTGGGAATCTGATCCTGCCCCTGGTAATTTGTGCTGATGCCAAAATAACTTAAATTGTTACCATTGCGAATAATCTTCCCTTCATTTGCAAAAACGTCTAATGGAAGGGCCACATCCCGCATTCTCTGCATATACCAACCTATGCAAGGAATGTAGGATCAGTGTGAAAGATTGATTCCTGATTTGCATATATGTCGGTGTTCTGTATTTTGTTTTACTGTGTTTGAACTGGTGTTCTCCCTAGTTGTCTTCTGTGTATCTGTGTAAGAATTTTTCCCCCAAAGCCAACTCCCAAAGTACGTGGGTCCTTAGTTCAGTTGGATCAGTGTCTGACACTGTCTTGCTTGAAATCCATAGTGAGGACTTCCAGCAGCTGCACTCTGGACTTCATATTTTAGGCAGAGAAGAAGCACCTAACAAAAATATGCAAAAAGAAAAAAAAGAAAAATTGCTAGTTTAGCTTTTACTTGTGTTTATATTTAAGTTAAGCTTTCTTAAGTTTACAGAACTTTGCTTGTGAACACTGAGCATTTCACATGAGACTTTTTTTTATGCTGGACAGCTTTCTAACTATTGATTTGATAGATCTCCATATACAATTTTGTGTGTTCTTTACACCCGCGGCTTCTCTATCAGATGTCTGCCATTCATTACAGGTAACTTCATTGATATGTTCTATGCCTGTTCCATTACAATTTATTTGGGGAAAAAAACCTGACAGGTGGTTCGGTCTCAGAATCTTTCTATACCCTGCAAGGTATTGTTCAGCAGATCCTAAACGCTGAAGCCCTGATTCTAATCTGCAGTACACAGCATAGAGAGACTTTGAGGTGAGTGCCAGAGCAAATGAGTCTCTTTTATGGTCTTTCTTTGTTACCAGTTTGTTTGGGTAGCTGGAGGGCTATAAGGGGCTGGAGAAGGAGCACAAGTTAGTTAACAAATATTGTTGTTTTAACCACACTGGAAAAAGCAATGCCAACATGTAAACCGAGAAGTGAAAAGACAAAGCCCAAGATACAGAGAGGGAGAACTAATATCTGCCATGCAAAGGCACACTAAATCTATACAGGAAATAAAGGTTCTGGAGACAAGGGTGTGGAAGAAAATGGGGAAGGTAAACCTGGACAAAAGGATTAGAGGCTTTTCTCTGGGGAAAGGAGGTTTTCTTCTGAGATTTTTAGTGTAGAAGAATGTTATCCCATATGAGGAATGAGTGAAAAATTTTACCCAGCTTAAAAATATGTAGCTGCTCATTTGTCATCTGAGGTCTGGGGAAAAGCTGTTTAATTTGCTGTTGTGACTCTGGTGAACTATAGTCAAGATGTAGCATATTCTGGAATATGGTTCTGATACCAGATGAGATATACCAGTAAACAGGAAACAAGAATCAGGGTTTACATCCACCAAAATCCAAGTACTATCATGTTTAGACAGAAAAATCCTATCCAAATTGTAGTCCTTCAGTTTTCATCCTTTCCTAAATCAAAGAAGTATCACCTTTTAAATCCAAAGTTTTTATGAGGTCTAACAAATTGGAAGTAAATTAAAGATCAGTTGTAAATGAATGAAGGATGCCAATTAAAAAAAAAAAAATAAATAAATAAACAAAGTTCTTCAATTAAAGATAAGGCTTGGTAGATTGAATTCTAAAGCAGTTTTCAAAGAGTTTAGGCCGAGGTCTTCACAAATGAGTGCCTGAAACATTAACTGATTTTGTTGAACTTCGAGATTTTGTAAAACATGAAGCAACTTGCACCATGACTGCTAATGTAGCTGAAAGTGCTTGCCAGGTCACTGTGAATTTAGGAGCTCAAACATAACCCCCTTTATCTTTTACAAGTTAAATTCTTTTTAGCAATGTTTCCTCCCATCTTTGAAATACTTTACATGCTACTTGGAAACAACCCTAGTATCCAAATGTTGCAGGTATATTCAGCTTTCATGTATTGCTACAATATTCCTTAGCAGAAAGAATTGCAGTCACAGTGATCTGGAAACCACTGCTGGCAGTGTTTGAGTGAATCTGTCTCACTATGCTTCAAAGGTTTCCTGCCAAACACCTGATGAAATGATACAGATGAGAAAACGCAGACTGTAGCACGCATCCTTCTGATGAAGCATGCAATATCCTGCATTCCTTGAGCTTGATTCTCACTTTCCCTTAAGCTCTCTTTATATTGCTTTGGTAATGGAAAAGGGCATTAAATAGTACATAAATTCATGTTACAAATCAAGGCCTCTCTGCAAGGCAAAAGTGCAATAAAGGAAGCCTTAGAGTAAATGAGAAGTAAGCACCTTCTCTTACTGCTACTGAGGCTGGTGAAGTGAATTGGAAATGTAGGATTGGCCAGAGCAGATCTGCCCTGTGGTCTCTCTCACCCAGTACTCTGTCTCTGACATGTGGCCACTTAGAGATAATTTGAATGAAGATGAAAGACCCGTGTTGGATAATTATAAAGCAATAAGCCTAAGGGAGAAGATTTATTATAATCCTCATTAACTATTTGTACATATAAAAAACATAAAAATTTGAATATTTATTTGCCTATAACATGAAGACATAATAATTTATGTCTTTAAGTTTTTATCCCATATAAAAAATATATATTGTGGCAGGTAATTCTCATCCCTTTAAAGATCTATCTTATTAATTCCTAGCTGGGCCCCAGGCCATCCTGTGGAAGTGAGTTCCTCAGGTAAATTACCCCCTCATTGAAATGATTCCTTTTCAAGTTAATTCTGTTGCTGTTCACTGAAATACCCATGTTCTTGTATTATATGAAATCATAAATCAGAAACCCAAAATTTAACTTCTCTTGCCCGTTCCACTGAGGTCTGCCTGGGAAATATGAATCCACAGGGAATGCAGGACCACAACCTCAGTGTCTGCTGATCAGCAAGGAGAGAACATTACTGAGTGTGACCGTGTGCATGTCTGGGGTGTGTGCATTAGTGAGGTTCTCCTACAGTGATCTCTTGCAGAGGACTAGCAGGCACAACTCATAAATAATGGGAACATACCAGTACAGTACACCACTCTATAAACTGTAATATGGTATTTCAATCTGGTCCCTCCCCCATATTAATAATCTCTTATAAGGGAAATAGTTATAGATGTTTTGCAGGAGCTACTCTGGGGACACTTTCTCAACATCTGTCATACTTTCACTAGACCCACTCCTGGCCCACGCTGTTAGATAACTTCAAAAACAGCTCAAGTTCACAGTAAGCTAACAGGGAAGAGTAGCTTTTAATTGACTTTGAGTGAGATTTCCTTTTGCTCTAAGATCAAAGAGGCCAAGTGGAACCCATTTTTCCTCTTTTGACTTCTTTTTCATCCAAAGGAGAGTTGAGTAATAACCCGCATACCATCAGCCCCCTCACTTCTTATCAACCCCAAACTGATTGATTTCAGTCAACCTGGAGCTACTCTTTTAACGCTGGATCACTCACATGGTGGAGGAACAGATCTCTTCCCTTTAGTGGGTATTATGCTAACATTTGCTGTGTCTCTTAATAATGAAAACAAATCCCAAAGGGAGAAGGTACAAAACATATTCTTTGTAGCAGTGTTGAGTCCAGTCCAAAATCAGAAGCAGCAAGAACACTGCTTTCAAATTCATTTCAAACATGACCAGACCTTCAGAGTGCCTAAATCTGCTACCCTTCTGAATGTTACCCTAAGGAAATCCTCCAGCTCTCACTGATGAAAATGATTTGCCACTCTAAAAGGAAAAAAAACACATCAGCCTGGAGAAGAGAAGGCTTTGGGGAAACTTTATGGCAGCCTTCCAGTACCTAAAGGGAGCTGACAAGGAGACTGGAGAGGGATTTTTCACAAGGACATGTAGTGATAGGATGGGGGGGGAAATGGCCTTAAGCTGAAGGAGGGTAGGTTTAGATTTGATAATAGAAAGAAATTATTTACAACAAGGGTAAAGACAATGGAACAGGTTGCCCAGAAAGGTTGTGGACTCCCCATCCCTGTAGGTGTTCAGACCAGCCTGAATGAGGCTCTGAGTAGCCTGGTCTAGTGGAAGGTTCCCTACCCATTGGAGGAGGTGTTGGAACTAGATAATTCTTTAAAGTCCCCTCCAACCCAAACCCTTCTATGTCAGTATCAAATTACCACCTCATGGCTGTTCTGCCAAGAAAGACTAGTCCTTGGTAATCAACGCTT